AGTGAAGTTTGGATCGTCACGAGAAACTACAACAGGAAATAAATTTAAAATATTTGAAATTAGGACATCAAGAAATATTTAAAATTAAAAGTAAGCTCATCCGCTGATAAAGGAATGATATTTAAAATTCTGTTTTTGTGTCAAATTATCAAAAACTGCTATTTATTCAATGTTGCTACTTAGCTATGAAAGAGCGCTCTGGCTCACTCGTTTCCTATAAATATAACTTTCATGTATCAGAATGTAGGAATTTAAATATATATATTCATATATTTAATTAATATAAAATATGTACACTAATTAGGAATTGAATAATAATCGTCATCTTCTTAATTAGTGGCAATTAGTCCCACATGACACAAAACTTTCTGTGAAAAACTGTGATGTGTCAATTTGATTAGAAAAAAACTTATATTACATCTATAACACTTATAACATCCACAACACTTATAACATTTATAACACCTACAACACTTATAATATTTATAAAATTCATTAAACTATTAAAATCGCAATTATTCTTCATGGCACCAATAAAAAATTATCAACGAATAACAAGCCAGGGCTACAGGTTAACGGTCGCTTAACCGTATACATTGTTTTGTGCATCAGCAAACCTATTTAAACCTATTCAAATTAAATTTTACTGAATAAATTAAATTTTACTGAATGTTTGTGCATCAGCAAACCTATTTAAACCTATTCAAATTCTGAGGGAGGCCTACGCTGCGGAGGCCTACGTTGAGGAGAGGTACACTTAATGCAGGTCGTGTACACACACGAAAATTAATGGGTCATATGGTCTAAATTGTGACACACTTGCTTACCCACGGCATGAGCATTGAGTGGACGTAGCACTGATACGCCCTTTTGCCTGGACAAACTGGGTCTGAATGACAAACACCGTAACACGGTGTATAGCTATTTGGACAAAGCCACATTCAATTATCTGAGTGGAGGCTATACATATTAAACGTATACCTCATGTACATTTATACAGCGTATACATATTACGTATACATATAATATTATATTTACACAGCGTATACGTATTGCGTATACATACAATATTATATTTACACAGCGTATACATATTAAGCGTATACCTCTTGTATATATACAGAGCGCATACATATTAAGCGTACACCTCTTGTATATATACAGATCGTATGCATATTAAGCGTACACCTCTTGTCAGTATACACAGCGTATGCATATTCAATGTATATCTCTTCTATGTACACAGAGCGTATGCATATTTACCGTGCAACTCTTGTATGTATACAGATCGTATGCATATTCATGCGTGCTCGAGAACATGGCGTATGCATATTCATGCGTGCTCGAGAACATGGCGTATGCATATTCATGCGTGCTCGAGAACATGACGTCGTCAGGACAAGCGCGCACGCATTAATCTTGTCGCGTCTTGCTTCGCTTAATCGAGTTTCTTTTGTAGCTCTCGCCTCGATCGCTGCGGCCTTCCTAAGACTCGAGGAGAGCCAGTAAATGGAATATCCGAACCTTTGTATGGCCTGTATACGATGTGTGGCTATACAATCGCGCTACGAACACAACTTCCGTTGTTTACTACCAACGAATAGATGTTTGTGATGACCTGCACTAACCTACGAACATCCGTTGTCTGTTTGTGATCACCTGCACTAACCTACGAACATCCGTTGTATGTTTGTGATCACCTGCACTAACCTACGAACATCCGTTGTGTGTTTGTAATAACCAGCACTAACCTACGAACATCCGTTGTGTGTTTGTGATCACAGCACAAACATACGAACATCCGTTGTATGTTTGTGATCACCAGCACAAACCTACGGACATCCGTTGTGTGTTTGTGATCACCTGCACTAACCTACGAACATCCGTTGTGTGTTTGTGATCACAGCACAAACATACGAACATCCGTTGTATGTTTGTGATCACCAGCACAAACCTACGAACATCAGTTGTATGTTTGTGATCACCTACACAAACTACGAACATCAGTTGTATGTTTGTGATCACCTACACAAACCTACGAACATCCGTTGTATGTTTGTGATCACCTACACAAACCTACGAACATCCGTTGTGTGTTTGTGATCACCTACACTAACCTACGAACATCCGTTGTGTGTTTGTGATCACCAGCACAAACCATGAGGCACAATTCTAACAAATCTACTGAGGCATAATTAAAAAATTCTCCTCATCATTTAATATACTGATACATATCCAGATTGTGAACGTTCTCATGCACCACCTAAGCGTTATCATTATGATACATACTCTGACCTTCAGACGTTTCATTTCCCTCCAAGTTCCTTGCCCTGAATATATAAATACAATTGGTAATGCAACAATTGTTATACCGTTTGATTTATTTGTAAAATTCTGCATGACATCGGTATCAGGGATTGGTGCCAAGTTATTTTTCAGTGCGGTGAATATAATAGAATTTAAAGCGAATAGTTGATCATGGGTCGCGTTAGTATTATAGATAAAAAACTAGGATAAGTTTTAAAGTAGAATGAATTACTCATGCCCGATAGAATTCATGTCTGCTGAACTAATAGAATTCATGCCCGATGTACCATCTAAACTATGCACCAGTCAAACTATGCACCAGCCAAACTATGTACACCCAAAGTTTTTTTCTATACGAATAAGAAAACTGCACTTATTCTCCAACTCCCAGTCCCAGGCCGGGGTTTCGATTGGTTTCGACTTTCAAGTAATTTGAAATACAGAGAGGCAATACGTATAAGTGACAAAAATAGCTAGAGCAAATGTGGGTGGTGATGAGTAATTTTACTCTTAAATGAAACTTAAACGGTTAATGCAGTAGAGGAGTTATGAATTTAACGTTCAAGAATTACGAAGCTATCAATTTAGTCATAAATTACCTCTAAGTTAGGGACAACTTGTTCTGTGGTGTCCAACACTCATGCTAGTGCGATGAACTATACGAATCAATACCACCAATAATTGTTTACAGAAATACGTAACTCTTGGTAGAGATACGTACCAATTGAGAGAGATACGTGACTTCCGGTAGAGATACCTGCCTGTTAAGAGACATACGTGCTTCTCAAGAAAGATACTTGCCTCTCAGGAAAGATACTTGCTTCTCAGGAAAGATACTTGCTTCTCAAGAAAGATACTTGCCTCTCAAAATAAATACGTGTCGCACGCTTACAGGCCACAGAAAAAACACACGGCAAAAACAATCACATGGAAATGTGATCGCGATAAACATTTTTGGGCCTCTTAATCCGATTGAGGTGAAGGCATCGCAGACGATAGACAATAAGCCCGTGCTGGTGATTTATTATGTGAACAAAGCGTCACCTTTTAAAACAATCGGTAGTATAAATTCCTCTTTGGCTTACACACTTTCGGCGTAATATGTAACTTCTCTCTGACAAATAAAAGTTAGGGAGCCGAAAAAACATGATGCTGTTGGCCGCAAACCGCATCTAAATGCGCTCTGATTTACAAACATGGGAAGGAAAGCACGAGCGATTTTTTGTTTAGATTTTCTTAGTATCCTTTGTTAATGTTTGGGATATAGCAGCCCCAGGCCACGCTAGAACGCCGCCACTTTCTGTAAAACAGATTTATTAAAAATGAAACATTCTTTACTAATTTAAATTAGCTAGAGCTAGATTTATTCAACATCTGAAAAGTATTTGTCAATTGGAAAATAATCACCAACAAAAAAAAAAAAAAAAACGGACCGGAATAGATCTACCGACCTATGCGGCGGTTATCAGCTTGTGTGGACCGTATGACCTTTGGGCGAGATTATACGCGGTCTCTTGCTTGTCTTTATTCCTATATTAGTTCAGGTTTTGTATATACTTAAATTATATAAACATAAATGGTAAAAATCTATGCACAAACTTTATGTATCGATGAGTTTCTAATTAAAATTCTAATTAAAATTAAAATTGTTCAGCGGGTTACAAATAGAAAGTTATGAACTATCGGTAATGGACCTGCAGTCGCCAATAAAGTTTAGTCGCCAGCCTGCTATAATAATGAGGTTTCTATTGATCAATATCGACAAGATCTTTTCATAACCATGCGAGTAATAAAAGCTCTTAAAATTTTTATTGCTAAAAAAACAAGTAATTAAAATTTAGGATAAAATCGTCACTATTGTATAAAAAATTCAGATCTCATAGAAATGATTTGAAATTCGTCTAAATAACGACACACTTTTTTCGCTTGAGTGAGTCATCCTGTTGCAGTTTGTGAGAAATATATACATGTAGGGCGAGTCTGCAGTGATGCGTCGGCTTCCAGCTCATGCTGTGGGTGAGAAAGTGTGTCACAATTTAGACAAAAAAATAAAAAAAAAATTTAGACAGTATCGGGTTCATTTCGAACCTCCTATTAGGCTGTGTTTAATAAGGCTTAGTAAATAATGTTACTCATTTGATGTTAATAATACTAACGTAATCACAATACAAATTTGATTATAATAATGATTTATTTAAAATACTCGTTTAATAACAGAACTAATTCATAATAATCCAATCAATTGAGTGTACGATTCTTAAGAATTGATTAAAAAGATTGTAACCAACACCAGGCATCATGCAACATATAAGACAACATACATTGAATAGCCGACTTTCAGTGAATAATGTGAATGTTATAAAAATTTCATGAATTTTTATCATACTTTACATGCTAGTTAATTCGGTCAATCATGGAATAAATAATCATGAAGATATCATAATGATTTGTTACTGATTTTCTAAATAATGAACTGCAATTGTAGAGAGATTTGTTCAAAGCAAAGTTCAACACGGAACTTCTAGTTTGAACATAGAATTTGAAATTCTGAGGAAGCTGAATTTGTTTTTCTTTTTACATTTGTACATCTAAAAAATTAGATAATGCATTTAATTTAAAAATTTATCTATCCCTTGAATTTTATCACAAATTTTTTAATTTTTCGTCTCGATTTTTAACATTCATGTTAATGAATGTTAGACATCAGAATAGCGTTCGAGGACCAGCCGGCCAACAGCACCACGTTTGAGAACCACCCGGCCAACAGCACCACGTTTGAGAACCACCCGGCCAACAGCACCGCGTTTGAGAACCAGCCGGCCAACAGCACCACGGTTGAGAACCAGCCGGTCAACAGCACCACGGTTGAGAACCAGCCGGTCAACAGCACCATGTTTGAGAACCGCCCGGCCAACAGCACCATGTTTGAGAACCAGCCGGCCAACAGCACCACGTTTGAGAACCACCCTGCCAACAGCACCATGTCTGAGAACCAGCCGGCACCGGCCAACAGAACCGTATTTGAGAACCAGCCGGCCAACAGCACCACGATTGAGAACCAGCCGGCCAACAGCACCACGTCTGAGAACCAGCCGTCTAACAGAACCGTATTTGCATATGCCACCACGTCAAGCTCGGTTCTATTCACGTGGCTTGCGTAAGGTTTTTACGAGGCTCGCATTTTTGAAGTGTTGTCTCTGAAAACCGGTCCTGCTCTTCAGGGGATTACCGCGTATTTTTATTATGATTTATGAACGATGCTGTGCCGTCTGACACTCGGAGAAATGTGGTCGAGAATGTAGTATATATGGTTCCTGTATGTAATATATATGAATGTTATGTAAACATGTAATACATAAGTTACCAGCATTAATGTTCCCGTGTGCAGGTAACGTGCATTCATGTTGCCGTGTGTATGTTGCTTTAGGCAGCGTAAGATTATTATTATTATCACATGATAATCATTTATTATTACAAAATTACTATTCATTATATTATTACATCACTCTTATTATTATTATAATGCCGTTCACATTTTGCCAGTGAAGTCGGAGTGATTTTCTGAACATAGATGGACGATGCATTTATGTATGATGAATGTCATACATTCTATGAATACGGGAGTAAACAATTTAATAGAAAATAAGCTCAACTTTTCAAATGGCCTCCGTAACTTTTTCAATTCAGATAATGTTAATTTAGTAGACGTTCTTAAATATTACACATTTTAAATAACGCAAAATATTTTCTGATAATATATAATATTTTCACGATTAGTGCTTTCCACGGTACCTCTACAATAATTCATGCTAGATTATCTCTAAGAAATCAATATGCATATAATTTATATGTAATAAATAATGCAACAAGCTCATTGAAACTCTTGCTTTTTTTACACAATCTGAACAAAACGAATATGTCTTCAATTTTCAAAACATCATTAAAATATTCTCCTTATTTAGAGGTTCTCATGAGCTTCTAGAGAACCAGTATCATGAATCTCATCTAGAGAATATCGCGGTCGGATTCTAGAGCAACCCCCGCTTTGTGCTCACCGACTTCGAGAGCTTCAAACAATCAAACGTATTCAAGTCCCTCACGGTGGATGGGAGAGGTTGGCAAGCGGACATTATGTTCGGGAACACCTCTGCTCATTTGGTGCTATTCTCATGCTTTCTTTGTACCGAATACCTGAGTTTTGAGCTAAATTGTCACGCGGTGCGTTTGTTACCCAGTGAAAATTTACAGACGCGGCAGCTTCTGATTTGGGCTACCAGAAGCTGGGGCGACTCTAAATTTTGTTAGGGTAGAAGCAAAGCCAGCCAGCTTTGTCGCATTTTTTTCCAGGGAAGCAGTTGTGTTTGGGGCTGTTGTGGCGCCTTCTAGCTTTGTTCTTTTGTTAATACAAACAACATTTAAAGTAGCTCGCTGTTTTTAGCTTTTACAGGAAAAACCTTGTCGATTGTTAAGAAATTCGACGATATTGTGCATTGATTGACAGATCGCGTGTGCTTGTGAATGGTGATGTGATGTGATAGTAATTAGGTTTTGTGTTATTGCGACAGTGTTGTGTTATGATGACAGTGATGTGTTATGATGATAGTGATGTGTTATGATGACTGTAATGTGGTATGATGACAGTGATGTGTTATTATGACAGTGTTGTGTTATGATGACAGTGTTGTGTTTTGACGACAGTGAAGTGTTATAATGACAGTGATGAGTTATGATGACAGTGATGTGTTATGATGACAGTGATGTGTTATGATGACAGTGATGTGTTATGATGACAGTGATGTGTTATGATGACAGTGATGTGTTGAGAGAACACTGATGCACTATTGGAAAAAGCGAACCGTCAGAAAATGAAGAGAGCGGATGGTGACGAATATGGTGATGAATATGGTGATGAATATGGTGATGAATATGGTGACGAATATGGTGATGAATATGGTAATGAATATGGTGATAAATATGGTGATGAATATGGTGATGAATGTGGTGATGAATGTGGTGATGAATATGGTGATGAATAAGGTGATGAATATGGTGATGAATATGGTGATGATTATGGTGATGAATGTGGTGATGAATATGGTGATGAATATGGTGATAAATATGGTGATGAATGTGGTGATGAATATGGTGATGAATATGGTGATGAATATGGTGATGAATAAGGTGATGAATATGGTGATGAATATGGTGATGATTATGGTGATGAATGTGGTGATGAATATGGTGATGAATATGGTGATAAATATGGTGATGAATGTGGTGATGAATATGGTGATGAATATGGTGATGAATATGGTGATGAATGTGGTGATGAATATGGTGATGAATATGGTGATCAATATAGTCATCAATATAGTGATCAATATGCTGATCAATATGACAATAAATATACCAGTATGTGACAATATGTGACAATATGTGACAATATGTGACAATATGTGACAATATGTGACAATATGTGACAATATGTGACAATATATGACAATATGTGACAATATGTGACAATATTTTACAATGTGTTACAATATGTGACAATATGTGACAATATGTGACAAAATGTTGCAATATGACAAGATACGACAGTATAGCGATCAGTCTGAAATAATGATAATGTATATGACAAAATCAGGATTAATAATAGCAAAAAATAAAGGCCCTTTATTCTGCCCTCTCCATGCCAATCTTATTTCCACAATGCTTTCTCCCAATCCATCCTCCTAACCCTTCTAGTTCTTTTTATTTATTTTTTATTTCCGTATTAATTTCCATTTTTTCTCCTCTTCCCACTCAATCAGTTAACCCGTTTTTCCGTCTTTTCAAAATTCTTCACCCTCCTATCCCCAATCTTATCTCATTATTTATTCATATCAAATATTATACTATTATTATATTATATTTGCATCAAATATTATATTATTATATTATATTTATATCAAATATTATACTATTATTATATTGCATTTATATCATATATTATACTATTATTATATTATATTTATAACATATATTGTATTATTATTATATTATATTTACATCGAACCAAATTCATTTCTGCATCTCTCCCTACCCTCCCCTCTGCCCTCTGCCCCTCCCCTCCTCCCCCCTTCACACCCCTCCTGGACGCGCAGGAATGCGACCTGCAATGCGTACAGCAGCGATGCGTATATACGCATTACGGAGGGCCTGGTGTCGCTGTCTGGTGGAGGGGTGGAGGGGTGGAGGGGTGGAGGGGTGGAGGGATGGAGGGGTGGAGGGGTGGAGAGGTGGAGGGAGGCCCTCAAGAGCGGCAGGGCAACAATGCCCGCTGGAGCCCAGGCATTGATGCCCTGAACGCGATGCCCAGATTTCCATTCACACAGCTCTGCACAGTCTGTACAGTTTGCACAGTCTGTACAGTCTGCAGAGCTTGTACAGTTTGCACAGTCTGTACCGTCTGTACAGTCTGTACAGTCTGTTCAGCTTGTACAGTTTGCACTGTCTGCACAGTACGTACCGTCTGCATAGTTTGTGCATTCTTTACAGTCCGTAAAGAATGCACAGCCTGCACAGTCTGTACCGTCTGTACAGTCTGTACAGTCTACACAGCACGTACCGTCTGCACAGTTTGTGCATTCTTTCCAGTCCGTAAAGAATGCCCAGCCTGCACAGTCTGCGCAGTCCGTACAGTCTGAGCATTCGCACCGTCCGAAAAATCCGTACATTCTATATATTATGTACACTGTACTGTCTGTACAGTACGCACAATCTATGCAGTTTGTACATTTTGCATCGTCTGTGCAATCCACAAAAATCCACATTTTGCATCGTCTGTGCAATCCACTCTTCTGTGCAATCCATTCGTTAATTGTGCATTTTTCGTACAGTCCGTACAGTTTGTGCCGATTTTAGACGGGTCCAAATTTTTGTTAAAGACGATGGAAGCTACGTCAATGAGCTAATATAATTATTTGATAAATATTATTTAGAAAGATATTACGAATAAAAACATTATTTATTATATTACCTAGAAGTATTGCTTGCGAGTCATTTCAAAAATGGCAGGAATAAAGCTTCGCACCAATTATTGAAATTGAATTGTAATATGGCACGTACAAATTTTATTTAAAATACTGAATTCATTTGTGCATGCATAGCGGAATCCGGGTTGGCCAGATTCTGAATAACCGGATTCTGGATTTTTGAATCTCATAGATAATCTTCCCGAGATGCGGTAAGACGGATTGCAAACAGTCTGGAAAAATTCCTGAAAAATCCCGAAAAGGTTTGAAAAAATATCGTGCAAATCACAAAAAGGAATCCTGGAAATCTGCGATAAACATTGGGGAAAACTCTGACAAATCTTAATGATAAAGTGTTGAAAAATCACGATAAATCTCGAAGAAATCTCGAGCAAGTTTTGTACAAAATTTTAACGAATTGCAAGATTGAAGTTTAGAGAATAACTTGATTATCCAATATTTATTGAGGTGATTATTGATTAGTTGCACGTTGCTTGACTACGTTGAACCAAGTAATGCTATTCGTACGGGCCTCTCAACAGTGGCGATGCCGAGGCATCACTACTTGCCAAGATACGTTGAACCAAGTAATGCTATTCGTACGGGGGCATCATTACTTGCCAAGATACGTTGAAACAAGTAATGCTATTCGTACGGGCGCATCACTACTTACTAAGATACATTGAAACAAGTAATGCTATTCGTACGGGCAGTTCACCAGGGAGCATCGAGTGCAGTTTGCTGTTTTTTCCTTTGCACGCATTTACATTAACTTATTTTTTCAGTTCTCTGGTCTGATCCCTTTTCGTACCTGATAATGCTTCTTTTGATGTCCCTTTTTGCAAGCTGACAATGTTCATACAATGTCGCCCTGCGCCCCAACCTCCCTTCCTTTTGGCCCCACAAAGGTTCTTTTCAAACGCCCTTGCGAGCTTCAGCTTCATGCTATAATGTCCGTATTTTTTCCCGTGCAGCTTACATGCTCATTCCTTCACATTGGGCTAATTGCTGTTCTAGATCCATGATTTTTGCAGCGCACAATACGCAATGGTGCTCCTGGGTACGCAAAGTAAACATATCGCGCACCTTATGCCGCACCCAAAACGGGGCATTGCTAGTTATACGCAATGGTGCTCCTGGGTACG